CAGGTGTACATAAAAGAGTGCCTCCAGAAGCGGCTGCTTCCTCTCCTGAAGGCCCACAACGTCCCAACAATCTTCTGGCCGGATTTGGCCTTATGCCACTACTCCAAGGACGTGCTGAAGCGGTATGCGGACAATAAGGTCAATTTCGTGCCGAAAATGTTCAACCCTCCCAACACTCCGGAGCTCCGCCCCATCGAGAAGTACTGGGCGATTATGAAGCAGCACCTTCTTAAACGACCTAAGGTAGTGAAGACAGTCGAGGAACTGAAGAAAGTATGGGTTTACATGCAAAAAACGGTTGATTCACAGGTTGTGCAGAATCTTATGGCCGGGGTTAAGGCCAAGGTGCGGCCATTTGCGTATGGACTGTAAATAAAATACGAGTAAAATGGTAAAATGAAGTTTAATAGTTATTTCTCAATCCCTGAAAATTTGATGGCAATCGGATGAAAACTCGAATTTTGCGAATAAATTTTGTGTGTGGCAATTTCATCGTGGACACCCTTTATTGGTAAATCTGATTTAAGATTTCGAGCGGAGGTGAAGAAATCAGCCCTCAGAGCACTTAATTTTACATGAGACTTTCGTAGTCTGTACTTTGGTATTATTCTATGAAATAACTTGCTGTCATCTCTAGAATTCCTTTAAAAGACTTCTGAAGATCTAGCACAGACAAATACCATTTAAAAATTTCCAATGTTTAGAGTTTATTTTCGGGAAAAGGAGGAGATTCGTAATCGAAATTGAAGGCATTTCCCAATATTTTTCCTGTTTTTTTTTTTAAAGTTACTTGAATGTTTGCGGTTCACTGGCCACTAGACTGATGCAACATTTGACTTTTCGCTCCACAGTGCTTAAATGGTTTCAAATCGGGTCCTGATTAGCCTCCCAAAGTTACAACTCATTTGGTTAGAAACAGACTTCGCACAAGCCATTTGAAGTTTACATGTAAATTACTATGGAAAATCTCAACTTTTTGTTCATTGCCTTCTAGTCTTTTTGCATATTGAGCTGCAAAACAGTTCAATAGCCATTCTTATAGAAAACTTTCTCAGCTACAACTTTGCTAAAGATCGTTTCTATGTAAAACGAGACAGGAAAAAGTTATTAATTATTTAAGAGATTGGTAAACTTATGACATGATCAAGCAGCTGCTCTGTAGGCAACACTGTATTTTGCAGTGTGACATAGTAGCCATGATTTTCGTGTCCTATTCAACACCCCAGAAACACCAATGTTGCCTGCTGAGCAGTTGATTGAGCATGATCATAAGACATCAGCGCATTGAACCATTGATAACTTTCGATCCTTGCATTTAATCAAAAAGTGGTCTTGAGCAAAGTTGTAGCTGGGAAATTTTCCTACAAGGACAGTTGAAAGCTTTTGAAGCAGACCGATATGGTGAATTATTAGATAGACATGAACAAAGATCTTGGTTTTACCATAGTAATTCCCATACAAACTTCAAATGGTTTGTGCCATCTCAGTTTTTCAACAAATGGGATCAAATTTTGAGAGGTTAGTCAGGATCCGATTTGTAATCGTTTAAGTACTCACTCTACTGGCCACCCTGGTTAAAATTTTGTGCATTATGCTTATTTTGTCATAACTACTGTAGACTTTCCTAGTGCCAAGTAGTCAATTTGAACATTTGGTTAATATTTTCAATTTCACTTTATTTTGGTTGTGATAAAAGTGACTATTTTTAGAGAAATAGTAGCATTAGTGACTTTTTGGTTTAAAAAGTGACTATTTAGTGACTGACTTCAAAATAGTGACCAAGTCACTAAAAAGTAACCTGATACCAGCCCTGTATAGGTCATGGCTCGAACTTTTCTTCTACCACGGCCCATCATCTTTTCACGAGCCCTGTTCTCGCTTGTTTGGCTGCCAAATTCTATTTACGCTTGAAATCCATCAGTTCCACCCTTTTCTTCAGTCTGTGTTTCACAATTGACCAGTATTCCTCAATTGGGCCTTAGTTCCGGAGTATTGACCGGATCCATCTCCTTGGGAACCACTGTGACGCCATTTTCGCTGTACCACTGTTTGGTGGAATTTGAGTAGTGGCAGCTTGCCAAGTTCAGCCAGAATAGGCAATCCATCTAATGCTGCTCCAGAAAGCGCAGTAGTCTCTCCTGGTAAATTTGCTGGTTTATAGACCCAGAGGTAACGATAGTTTCGCTTAGCCCAAAACTGCAGATTGCTTGCCAGACAAGGAACTTTTTGGGGAATTTCGAATTTTTTTGTGTACTCCAAATAATTTGTTTATTTTATATGTTTGCATCAACAGACTAGAAATAGTCCCAATGATGTGTTGTAAAAAAAGTACAGATTATACAGACTACATATACTACAGTTACAAACGAAAATAACTAGGAAAGCATTGTCAAGTTACTAAAAATGAATAAATTTTAAATTTTACATTTAGCTGATGGGCGTCAAGCGCCTTTGGTCAGTAAAAAAGGGAGAAACTCTTCGGCGAAGCATATTCCGTGTCAAGTGGAAATCGGAAATCGACGCTACTCGCTTGAACACTCGCTGCAAGTCGTAAATAGCGCTCCCTAGGCTATAATTAGTCCGAAGAAGTGGAAGTCTCAGCATAAGACTGTTGCGTAGTGATCGAGGTTGAACATCAATATTCACTTGTTGCAGAATTGCTTCGCAGTCGATTCTTCCTTGCAGAGTATCGGCGACGGTTAAGGCTCTGAAAACATCTCTTCGGATACGTAAGGCCTCGACATTGATCAATTGGCAGCAATTCTCGTAGCTTGGAAGACGAAGTGGGTATCTCCAAGGCAGCTTACGGAGCGCGAAGCGGAGAAAGCGTCGTTGCACAGATTCAATTCGCTCGGCCATATTATTGTAATTCGGGCTCCAGACTGCAGAGTAGTATTCCAACGTAGATCGTACGAGAGCAAAAGAGCGATTTCAAGCAGTAAATGTCTGTGAAGTTCTTAGCAATCTTGAAGACAAAGCCAAGAGTTCTGGACGCTTTGTCGACGACATAGGGTATATGGTGTGAGTATGTCAGCTTTGAGTCTAGAAAAACGCCTAAGTCTTTCACGCAATACACCCGTTCGATAGTCGTGCATAGTAGTTTGTAGTTGAAAATAATCGGTTGTTTCTTGCGTGAGAAAGTAATGATTGTACACTTAGCTGGGTTGACCACCAGTCGGTTTAGACTACACCAGTCAGCAAAGATTTCAATCTGATTTTGGAGAAAACGGCAGTCGGCGAGTGAGCGGATGCGCAGAAAAACTTTCAGATCGTCTGCAAACGATAATCGTGGCCCTGTGATAACATGGTGAACGTCGTCAAAGTAAAGGAGAAATACCAATGGTCCCAGATGGCTACCCTGAGGTATACCGGACTTTGCGCAGAAGCTTGTTGAGCGAAAAGTACCCAAAGTTACTGTCAGTTGGCGCTCCGTGAGGTATGAACGAAATCTTCTCAAAAAATTTCCACCGATCCCTAGCCTATCAAGCATAGCGATCGCAATTCCGTGGTTCAGCTTATCGTATGCTGCCGTAAGGTCTGTGAAGATAACGTCCGTTTGGATCCGAGCAATCAAATTTTATGTGATATAAGACGTTAGGCACAGCAGGATCATAGTTGTGGAACGCCCAGTTATGAATCCGTGTTGATCTATACTTAGATATTGTTTGTAATGCGCATTTAGGGACTCTATGACAACCAATTCAAAAAGTTTTAATATAGCACTCAGCGACATGATTCCCAGGTAGTTGTTTACGTCACGGTTGCTTCCCTTTTTATAAAGAGGAAACATATCCGCAGTCTTCCAGCAAGACGAAAAGATGCCGCTGGAAAGAGAGATCTGGAATATGCGGCGCAGTGGATCTAAAAAACAAGTGGATGTACTTTTTAAAAATAATCGACGGAACACCATCGGGTCCAGCCTTAGCTGAAGTCTTAAGTTTAGATGCTGCTCTAGAAATCGTATCTGTAGTGGCTTCGAGCACGCTGAGGAACATTACTGGCCGCGGAAGTAATGAGATTAGCGGAGAGTTGCTCGTCTTCAAACACACTAGCAAATTTGGCTGAGAACAGGTGGCAAATGTCTTGTTGATTGCCAGCAGTTTCACCATTAAAAATCATGGAAGAGGGTAAGCCGACTTCCCTGCGTTGCTCATTTACGAAGATCCAGAAGGATTTAGGGTGTGATTTTAGCCACCGTTGAATCCTCCCTTGATAGCGTTGAAAACAGAGACGACTTAACCGCTTATACTCGTGGTTGAGTCTGACATAGTGATAGTATCATTTCAGCGGCAGTGTGCGGAATTTAGTAAATCTTCTGAGAGCAGCCTTCGTAGTTCTTTTCAACGAGTGAAGATCTTTGATCATCCACGGTTTGATTTTACATTCTTCCGGGCACTCTTCCGGTCAACCGAGGTATAAAGTTCTTGCCAAGGAATGTAATCGAAAACTGCCAGAAGCGGATAGACTGGGATTTTCGTTTCGAGCGTGCAGGATCGAATCACGACGTGCTTGCTCCGGTGAAGCCATGATGTTAACAAATGAACTTATCCTGACAACCGATACCTACTGTGATTCTATAAACTCTTAGTTCAGCATCTTCAATATTTTCATTTAAGGCCCACACACGTAAAGCATGTTAAAACTGATATTAGAATAGGATGAAACATCAATTTGAAGTGATTAAATCCTAACAAACTTAAGACGGTTCGCTGGCCACCCTGATAATACTCCATAACGAACAATAGTTATGCAAATTCATCGGAGATGATCGCGTTTGATCGATGCGTCAAATGCTATACATGGAAATGCTGTGTATGTACGAAACAAAAAATGGCTAGGCAACTGATCAAAGAACATTAAGTTGAGGACAGGAATGAAGTTCCAATTCAAACTTAGTAGCCATGAAGAATAAAAATAAAGACGAACATCTGTCTGTGACATGTGTGAAAATGTTTGAGATTAAATCTCAAATTTGATACCAATAAAAAAAATCATCTCACCTTATGACTCCCACTACCGGACGATCCACCTTTGTCATGTTTGCTGTTGCTTCCACTGGGACCTCCACCGCTACCGCTTCCCTTTTCTACATCACACAGCCTCTGCCCCAGCGGGGGACTTCCCCTGGCCGCTCGTGCACCTTGCAACAGTAGCCTCCTTAGGGAAAAGTCAAAATTGAACGAATTTCGACTTGTTCGACGCATTTTGATCCCGATCAGAACAGCGATCACACTAGGTACAATCCGATTACAATACTGCTGTACATCGGAAAACGAACAGAATTAGCCCTGACATTGACTGCTATTTTCGCTTCAAAAACACTTTTCACCTATGCACTTATCAGTAGGCCAAACAATAACAACAAGCATACTTCCGCGCGATCCTCGAGTGCAGGACTGTTGATTAGAGCGATTAGTAGCACTATTAACACGCCACTCGGAAGCCTGCTAATATTGATCTTCCACTACCTTCCAAGCAGCTGATCAGAATCTTCGTTTCACTCACTTCGATTGGAGATAAACAACAAACAGATTCACCCAACCAAGACGCTGTTGTCGTCGTAATAAAAAAAAAACACACTACTCCAATGCTTCGTGCTATATTGTTACAACACAGACGAAGGTGATTTTTCACGCGCTTTTCAGAACTTGAGACTTTCGAGCGATTGTGAGACTCTCGAGTATGGCGAGCAGCGCAACGCCCATTCACATAATAAAACACATTCCTCTCCGGTGGACCTTCATAACCACTGTTATTATTGTTGCTGCTGCAGCTGCTTCACTCTGCTTCTCGACAGCGCGCTGCCGCGGATCTGTTGTTGACGTTGTTTACACTCTTCGGTTGTTCGATCGCGACGCGCCCGCACACTACCTACGATATTGAAATGCGATGCAACACTGAGCTGAGACTGCCAACCGCGTAGAAGGGCTTAATGTTGACTGCAAAATATGATAATCACTTCTTCTTCTTCTTCGTACACTATTCGTTTCTAGGCGCGCGATTCGATTTCATTCACCGTCATTCGCATATACACACATAGGCTACCGACAACTGACTGGAGAGTGGAGACGCACTGAAAGAATTGAAATAATTTCGATTACTTCGGCTCGTCGCACTGAACCACGTGAATAAATGCTATTTGATCGCACACTCGCGGAATGTCAACCCCTGTCAACTGGGTTGTTCTTCGTTGTGTGATGCTGCGCGGCGTCGTACGTCGATGCATCACGCGGTTGGTAGATGCGGAAAAAAAAAGTCACACGAACGCTGTTCCTTCGACTGGGCGGCTTACGATGGATACATTGTTGATAAGCGCCGAGTGGGATGATGTTTCTGGAAATAAAGTCGAGAGAAAAAACAAGATGTAATAAACGATCGATATAGAGGGCGATCAATGAGAACGGATAATCACGGTGATTTTCTTATTGCGAACATGATATATTACATCGTAGAAGAGCAGGCCTGGCTGAAGAATGAATTCATCATTCGAGCAGGAAAGCATGGGTTAGAGTGATTTGCGGAAAATTTAAGCAATCTTAAACCATTTTGTGGGTATGTTATATTCATTGCTGGAACTTAAATGGTCGATTTGATATCTAAAAAACGATATAATGTGAAAAATTGTTATTGACTGTTCTCTTTTAGGGGTGAAACATTGCTATTGTTACAATATTGATGCCCATTTCCCTTCAGTGGACCCAACTTAACATAGTGAAGTCTGAATTATTAGATATACATAATAAGCACGTCATTTGTTCAGTACAACATAGTAGTTCATTGTAAATCAATTACTATTCTAACGACTTTTAAAACAAAGTCTAGGATAGAGCACTACTTCGGCATAAGCACCCATTTTCGTCATATTGAATACAAACATCAAACCTCGATTACTTTTTTGAACGGACGTATTAGCTTTTGAAAACAATGCATTTGATCGTCGGTTTGGCGTAACGGCTACCACTATCAGGTAGAGGAAAAATACCTCTATCTGATGGTAGTATAAGCATGCGTGGACGAGCTACCAGTTACGCCAAATCGACGATCAAGTCGCTTCGAAAAAGTAATCGAGAAATCTCGATTACTTTTTCAAAGCGACGTATCTACTTTTGTAAAGAACACTATCTTGTTGGGGAAACATCACCCGAGAAAAGTCGGATATCAAAATATGTATTATCAAAATGATATCAAATTATGTTTTTGAAATCATATTGATTAGGGTAGAACGCTACTTCGTCGTAATAGCCCATTACCGAACTATCGATCAGAAAAGATCAATAATATCAATAATTCCACCGTACACAAATCAATAATAGGTTAGGACGGAATTGAAACTCGTCGAATGAATTTGGAATCAAGAAGCAGTATTAGATTTTAAACAATATCTCAACAATTTGTGACTCTTTACCAAATCCAACGATACGTATGGAAAGGTGATCCATTATCCATTTTTTGTTTAAACTCGTTCAGAAGAGAGAGACAAAGCGCGGGTTGTGCTTAGTAGGACGGAAATTAGATCAAAAACCCTACATATTAAAATTACACACAAAATTGAAAATATAATTTAATATTTGATGAAAAGAGCATGTACATTTATGTTAACTGTTATTTTCTTTTAGTGAAAATAAAATTGTTATCTAATAAATTCTAGTAGTCAAAAAATAATGCAGTGAATTTTAATAAAATAATAACTATGGGACTATAAAGCAATTATGATCTTTACAATTATGTTACAACATTTATTTATTACTGTTGATATTAATCTGCCTGCGAATTGAATTTACAAATCGATATAAAATTGATTTCATCCTGTTGGTCTTTAATTTTTATGCTAATACATTATCGAATATTGTTATTTAAGGGGGTATTCCCGATCTTTTTTTTTCAAAAAATCAAATTTTTTTTTTCACGTTTTTTTGTACTTTAGACTATATACTTTCATCCCCCCAAGCCGTTTTCCGATCAGCGAATTCGGTGTCCAGGCATAGCTGACTAATGGTAAGAACCCCCAAAATGGTTTTAACTAAAGTCAAAACTTTAAACGCGTTTTTCTCGAAACCACATTTTTTTTATCGGGCGAAGATTTTTCTCAGAAACTATAAGAGATATTGACTTGAATCTTTGCGCATTTTGTTCCTTATTAAATTGTTTGGAGCTTCTCCCACTTTCAGCCAAAAATATTAACATTTAACATTGTTTGAAGCACCTTAAAGCTGCAAAAAAGCGGGCTAAAAATCGCCTGTTTTTTTCATATGGCCGCCATTTTGTTAATTTGCAAGATTTTTTGCAGCCAACGGGAGAAGCTCCAGAGAATCTTATGCAGATTATTAATTTCATCACGAAATCTGTTTCAGATGAAGCCGTTCCAGAGAAAAGTCTTCGCCCGTCCAGTCGTTTGCGGCGAACAGGGGTCTGTTTGCCGCCATTTTGTGACGTCAATAATGTCTTTTTTTATGTCGAAAAAAAATTATTTGTAAACTTCAATGTTCAATAAACAAGAATCCCAAGGAGTTAGGCGCATTACTATTCATTTTCCTTAAAAAAAATTAATTGAAAAACAGGCCGAAAAAAGGCAAAAGATTGGGAATACCCCCTTAACTTTCGTACGCTTAGTTGATTTATTAGCTCATATTTAAACATGTTGTCATCAGGCTTGCTTCCACACAGTTCGCTATAAACAAATGATTTTTTAAATTATGGAATCATTGCATGCTATAATGATATCTTGTTCGTGTAAACTACAAGAAGAGGTTGAACAGTAAGTGTTTGACACATAAAACCTGTCAATTTTGCTTTTTAAGAGTCACAATCAGCGATTTTATGACTCGTGAGCGTTCACTCATATCATCATCCCATAGATAAATTATCAGTTCTCTCCCAAAAATATCATCATTTATGTCTGTGCGTACGAATGGCATATCATAGAAATTTTAATATCGCAATTTAATAGAAAATAATAACATGATTGTTTTTTTTTTATGTTATGAGAACTACTTCGGCCTAATTGTCCATTTTGGGCCTATCAAGCAGAAAACTTCAAATAAATCCATGATTTCAGAGTTAACAAGTCAATTATGCGTTTGGTACGATACTTTAGTTAATAAACTACCGAACGAAGTCAATGAGAACGCGTGATATGAAGGTTTGCACCCATAGTTCCTAAAAACAAAAGAATCGCTCCGACCGAATCAATTTTTATCTTCATCCGATAGGCCGAAGTGAATTCATTGGCGTTTCAATGCGTTAGGCCGAGTTTAGAATCCGTAGGCCGAGTTTAGAATCCGTAGGCTGAGTTTGGCGTCAAGAAGCAGTGTTAGACTTTTGAAAATATCTCAACGCTTGGTTTCTCTTTATCAAATCTTACGGTACGTACGGAAAGATAAATAAATTTGAAAGCCATGAGTAATAATAACAAACCGTTTAGTACTAAACTGCGCTAGATTAAGAACGACTAAGTGCGGGTTGTGTTTAATAGGCCGGAAATGGGGTAGTTAACCCTATTGATTACTTATTTTATTTATTATTAACGAAAATACCAATATTAAAACGCACATATTGTTGTGTTAACAAGAAACTAGATTAGGGAAAACGATCCCATAGTTGCGGTACGTTAGAAGCGTTAGGTTCTTATAGTTGTGCATGGAGACTTAATACACAACTATATGAACCTAACGCTTCTAACGTATCGCAACTATAGGAGCGTTTACCCTACTGCTATCTCGACCACACCACGACCATATCAAAATATCAAATTTTGTTTTAATTTTTTTTTTTTTCATTCTCCGCTTTGGGTACCTTTTCTGATGGCCGTGTTGGTTAGCGTGGGAGTGCTAAGAGTATCAACAAATTGACAGTTGCATCTTTGTTTACGAAAGCAGATACGTCCCTTTGAAAAAATAAAAAAAAAAGCTTCAAAACAAAGTCTATAAGACCGCATAATATGAATGTTTACATCTATTCTTCTACAAAACAAAAGAAGCGCTCCTAGTTTTTGTCTAGGCGTATTCCGAACTGAATTCAATGGCGTTTCAATGTGTACTGACGGAATCGAAACTCGTATGACGGAATTGGAGTCAAGAAGCGATGTTAGATTATCAATATCTCAACAATTTGTTACTCTTTATCAAATCTAACGGTATGTATGGAAAGGTAAATAAATTTGAAGGCCATCTTTGATAGAAACATTCCATTGTTCAGATCCGATTGTAAGAGAGAGGTAAAGTGCAGGTTGTTCTTAGCATGACGGAAGTTAGATATTATCTCTGAATTATCTACAATAACAAAACTACTGGAATCATTTTTCAAAGCTGAAACCGTTAATCTTTACGATGTTGTGATCCTTTACACATACGTTTTACAGTCATCCCATGATTATGGGTCTGCTAATAATAAATATGAATCTGTAAGCCCAATGTGTAAATCAACAGGAAATGATCCTCAAATAAGAAGTGATTGTATGAAATACTGAATTGAAGAAATTACATTCACGTTTTTTCCCTGTTGTCCAACATATTATTCCCGGTTGAGTATGATAATGGCCATGATTGACCACCCACGGTTGCTACTCTGTTATTTCCAGATCAGCAGTAATTACCAATAGACGATGCTTGGTACTTGCAACCATCCTCAATATGTAAAAACTGGTGATCTCAAAGTAGGCAATACCAGCGCCGGCCACACCCGAACGCAGGTCAAGAAAGGAATGAGTAGGAATGTGTTGGTGTGACACTCGCTTTGATGGAAGTCGAGGAGGCCTCTGCACTTCCGTGAGGAATCACTGGGATGTTGGGTAAGAGGGCTGGGTTAGCAGCATTTTGGTAAACGATAAGCAAAATTGATGTCCTAACGATCATATAACACAAACAAGGTTGGGATTGAACCCACGGTCTTGTGCTCAGTAAGCAAAAACGTTTTCCACTAGGCAAACGAGCTCCGCTTTAATCATCGAGTTGCTGTTATTACCATGTAGTCATATCAACAAATAAAAAACGATTAAGGATTCTTGAATGTGGATGGGGCTGAGATTAGACTTATGATGTTCTACTAAGTAAGCAAAAACAGTCGCTCTAAGGTCACCGAGCTCCTTATATCACATCATACGTTACTCGAGTCGTTGTAACCATTCAAACCCGGCACCGACGACTACGACAAGTTTCACAAAATGCACGATAAACAAGCGATTTGAGCATAAATCTTTTTAATATGAATGATCCTGAGACCGCGTTTTTCTGCACAGTAAGCAAGCCACTGCAAGCGAAGATCTTTCAAATCCGAAAACTAAAAGCTTGGAAAAAGGGGCCTCCCTTAGCTCAGTCGGTAAAGACGCAGCTACAAAG